GGGGTCTTTCCGCCATCTTGAAGAATGTAGAAGAAACTCCAATAAAGCGTGCTTCAGAAGAATCCTGAGTGTTGCGTGCTCCTTGCTGGCGAGGTGCGCGCGACAGCCAGTCTTGTGGGTAGTTATTTTCAATTGTAAGTAGCTATTGCTTCAGGGGTAAAGGATGTTTCAAAACCATCTGGGCAAGTTACAAAACACTTTGCTGTGTTCATACTATTTATAGTAAAAGGCAACTAAGATTTCCCTTTGGCAGTGGAAGTAAAGGGTGTATTATTTTGATCAATGGATTATGGAGGCTTTTCTAAGTTTCCACTCATGGGAGCTAATCACACAAAGCTGGAAATAGAGTGGACCCTTGACTTACAAACTCAATTCATTTGAGAGGGCTGGTTTAACTCAGATTGGTCAGGCTCCTCTACACAGCCTTCAAAGTCTCTCTTTTGTATAATTTTAGGCCACACTGTCTTCCAGAATTTGAGAGGGCTGGTTTAACTCAGATTGGTTAGGCTCCTCTACACAGCCTTCAAAGTCTCTCTTTTGTATAATTTTAGGCCACACTGTCTTCCAGGAAGATCTCAGTGTCCTCAGACATTACCCTGTGATTTCTTAATTAACCCTACACAGGAAAGGATACTGCATTGTTCCTTCTAGAACACTTTGACGGTTAAATCTGTCTCTGAGACCATTTAAAAGCACAAGCTTTGGATCATAATTTAAGACTTTGTTTGTAAGTTAAAACTAAAATTACCATCACAACCATGTTGTTTGTATGTCAGGTCGGTTATAACTCAAGGGTCCACTGTAGCCGTGAGAATCCCAGTTCTTAATGCTTTAAAAATCTCACCTGTTAAAATACAGTAGGATGTCTTAAAAATAGTTCTTCACTATACATATTGGGATACAGGCGTACATTATGGAGTCAGGCACCACACATGTCCTTGGCCAACTAGGGTAGATTTTAAACTTTCTTATTCCATTAAAAACCTTTGAGAGCTCAGATTCTGAGTCACACTGCTGGAGTGGACCTTAACCCATGCCAGTTGTGATCATATCATTAACTTTGAGGCTAGCAGAGCAGCGTGAGATAATTTCTCTGTCTTCTCCTTTTATGATACTCAAGGGGCCACAGAGCCATTCCTGGAAAGCACACAGATGGCAGATACTTAGCATATTGCCAGCCCTGTCCCAAGCTGTGTACGTGCGATGACTCTGCTAATCCCTGTCTCAGTTCATCCTGTGAGGAAATGCCCAGTTTCATCCCATTTAACAGTTGAGCAGATGGAGGCACACAGAGCATGAGTCGTAGTGAAGAGGAACTGAGAGCCGACCCCAGCACTGTCGCCCCAGGAGGTCTGTTTTGATTTGTCCCTGCACATGGGGAAGAGGCAGCCAAGGGGAGAGAGATGCAGGTCCCTTGTGGCTGGGCAGCAAGGGCATGAATGGGGAAGGTCCAGTGAGGGGCACAGGGCCCATGGGCCAGACGTGGAGTGTGAGGACTCTGCCATGCCTTCCTGCTCACCCTGATTTTCTGGAAGAAGAGAAGGATTTCTGGGATCTGTAGCTTTCTTAAAAAGGTGGTGTGAATTCCAGGCCACTGCCATCACACCTGATAGCAGGAAGCTGTGTAGCTGGGTCTGACAAAATCCCAGGAGCTCAGCTGTGCGCTGCCAACCAATTCATTATTCATTCTTTAAAACAATTTTTTTTTTTGAGAGGTCAAACCCTCTGCTCCCTGGGCTAGGTTTGGAGACTCCCTTCTCCCCTTTATTTTTTATTTTGAAACAGGATCTCATTAAGTTGCCAAGAGGGGCCCAAGAGGGGAACGTGCAATCTTCTTGCCTTTCGCCGCCTGTTTCTTTCCCAACACCCTCCGCTCGCCGGATCCCTCCTTTCTTCCTGACTTCAGGTGAGCACGAGCTGTTCCTGAGGAACGCAGCCAGCTCGCAGGCGCCAATCGACAAGACGTGGGGAGTGTGCCGGTAACCACTGGCAGCTGAAGCCGTTTCACTTTCCTGCGGACTCTTCCGCTCTCTTGCGTGGAGACGCTGACAAGAGCTCATCCTGACCCGCTGGCAGGATTTCCCCAGCTGCTGTTTGTGTCCCCTCGGGGCTTTCTTGGGGCTCTAAAAACAACGCATGCCTGGCTAGGTTATGGGGGGAGGGTGCCACATAGGTTCATAATTCTTTGAAATTTCTGAGCATCGAAAAAAAGTAATCCTGGTGGGTAGGTGTGAGAAGTTCTTTAAAATGGGGCACATTTCTCCCCAAAGCTTAAATTAGAACTTTTCAAGAGAAACTAAATGAAAGTATAAAAATATGTAAATACTCTTCTTCCCCCCAAACAGAAACAGTGTTACCCCTCCCCCACGACTGTAGTCAGCGCCACCCAGGCAAAGGCGCCTGGACTTCACAGCGTCCAGCGTGCGGTGGGTCAGTACTCTTCCTTTGGGGTCCCACTAGTTTTCTGATGAATCGGACGAGCGCGTACCTGCATTTATCCTCCCCCCACCCCCGCTTGCCTTTACTAGGCTGGAATTTTTCTAAAGTTGTTTCACATTCCGTGGGCCTATGGGCTTCTTGCTGAAAAATACAAAAACTCCTAGGAGACCGTGGCTCAGCGAGGCAGCTGTTCCTCCGTGCCCGGCGCTGCATGCGGGGAGACAGGAGGTACCTCTAATCTGCTTCTGCCACTTCCTCTCTTTGGGCTGGAGTTCTAATTCCACTTCGAGTTTTACTCTGTTCACGGCGTAAAATGCGTTGCGAGGATTAAACAAGGCTGAAGTCTACAGTCTCTGGGGAGCCGATGAAGTGCGGAGGGACTGGGGGGGGTGTCCCCAGCACCCAGACTTGGCCCGGAAGCTCTGGTCTGGTGTTCTTTGAATCTTGGGGCGGCAGTGGAAAGGCTCTGAAGCTGGTAAACGCAGGTCCAGAAGATGATCCCTCCTAACTTTCAAGGCGGTGCTTTCCCACATAGTCCACCACCCGTGACTCCGACAGGAGCCCAGTGTTGTTGGTGGTTTTAAAGACCTGTGGAGCGGGACTCCAGTTCTAGAGTCCGGTCAAGTTGGACACACATCCAAACCACAGGTAAACTGCGTAACTCAAATGCATGCCCTTATGAATGTTCCGGGGAGTAGGAAAGAATCAAGAAGAGGGGCTGAAAACATATGGCAGTTCTGTGGGCAAGAAAATTGGCATTGTATTTCCCTTGCCCTAACCTTCCCGTGATCCGAGGCAAACGCCGAAAGGTGTAGTTGCAGTACTTCATGAAGAGAAAAGTGATGTGTGTAACATTAACTCAATTACTGAGTTTCCAAGTTTCTAATTTCAGTAAACACATTATCTACTTGATATTAAGCCAAAGGTTCAACTTTTATGCAGGATTTCTTTTTGAACGATAGATTTCCTATATGTTTCTTATTCTAGTTTTTAAAAAACTTTTACTAGTACGGTACATGTTTGCAGGACATGATTACATGGTGCGTGTACACAACACATCTTAATTCTACTTCCTCCCTCCCTCCTTCCTTCTCCCTTGTCGGGGTTCTCTACCCACTACATCTGTGACGTTACCCTGGGGATTCAGTCCCTCAGAGCCTCGCTTGCCAAAGACAACAATGAGTACTAAGCTGTCCTAGCCCTTGTGAGGTAGGATAGAAAGGTAGAAAGGAGACAAGGAAAATTTTAATATTAAAATAGCACTTTTAAGGCAAAACTGCAGCTTCACCACACAAAGGTTATTCAAGCATTTTTTTAATTTTTTATTTCTTCCAGAAAAAATTCCTGAGGGCCTTAAAGACGCTAAGCTTGTAAATTAGGCTCTGGGCCTGTGCCTTTTACCTGTAAATTATTCCCCCTCCTACCAACCCCATCCTTGGGATAGCATCAAACACATGTAAATGGTTTGACTTTTAACACAGTCACAGGGACACTAGAACACACATCCTAGAGGACTTGTCTTAGAGACACTCCCCATCCCCATAAATATATGCAGCCTCTGTCCCTCTTGAGGGCACACGCTATTTCTGAGTGTGTACTTTAAAGATTCTGCCTAATAAATCTCTTTGTACCTCTTCCGGACATGTCCTGAAAATTCTTTTTCTGTGATGAAAATCAGAGAACTTGCAACCTGCCCAGTATGAGTTCCCTGTCTCCACTTTGGGGACCTCCTAGGACACTGTTTGATGACACAGGCAGCCCAGACACACTCATGTGGAGCTGGTAGGGAGGAATCTCTCAGGGTTTTGGACAGAGACTTAGCAGAGAGGGAGGCAGTCAGTGACTGTCTAGACTCACCTCTCCTTGCTGGGGAACAGCCAGTTATGGAAGAGGAGAAGGTGCTTCCCAGTGGTCTTGGGGCCCTGGGTCACCACCATGGGGCTGTAGAGGCCGGGCCCAGCTTGCTCGAGTGGCAGAGATGCTGCAGACACCTGGCTTCCCCTGGAGGGAGAGGGAGAATCAGTCTCTGAGGGAAGGGTGGTCCAAGGAAGTAAGGATGTGTGTCTTTGGAGACACTGGTGTCTCCAAACTGCAGGTCACCCCTTGATGGCTCTACTGGGATGGAAACTTCCAGCCCAGTGGCTGTGCTACAGACCATTTTCTCCAAATGAAAACTACAAAAAGGGGAATTACAATAAAGCCCAATAAAGGGAATATTGTTGAGCCCACTTCAGGCAATAATTGACACTTGTCGTGGCCATGTTAAATTTTTTGGTGAGAATTTTAACCTTAGGCAATAATTAACAAACTTTTCCGCACCACAGCACACACAGAAAATGATAGTGTTTATATCACTCCTGAGGCAAACATCACACTGGAGGTAAACAGAGGCAGCACAGGTGGACCTGCCCACCCAGAGTTGGAGCAGACACATTCAGATCTGGAGGGATCAGAGTCATGGATTCACTGTAGCTCATTTGTGGCATACATTGGGAAGCTCTGACATACTCTTTTAATTAGCAAAAATTTCCCAAAGGTTGAAAAGGTCATATTTAGCTTGCTGCAAAATCCGAGCAAAGAACTTTCAATTGATGCTTTTCTTTCATAAATTGTTTTAACAGCAGCTCAGATACAGTGTTGTCTGTGAGACCCAGGCAATCTTGCCCCAGTGCCAGAATCACTGGTTTCTTTTATCCTCATATCTGGTTCAATCCTGGTGATTTTTCCTTTGCCTCAGAGGCTTGTGTGCAAGTGTGCACCTGCCTGTGTGCACACGTATAAGTGCGTGCACATGTGTGGGGAGCAAGGAGGTGGGATCGCCACTACTTGGCCCGATTTTCCTGTTACTTTAGCCCTTGCTCACACAACCCAGCTCTTTCCATCTACCAATGGCAAAAGTAACGTTTTGAAGAAAATCTTTTACACAGAGAACTTTCTGTTCCTTTCAAACATGATATCTGAATAAACCTGTGCTGAGAATTAAGGATACATTTCTGCTATTCACAAAGCAAACTCTGCAAATGTCAATACTATGAAGTTTCCAAAAATTGATTATGTGGCCCCAATCTTTGCTTCCACCCACCACCCCCTGTGACAAGTTCCCATCTTGAGCACAACTCTGCTTTGCAGACTTTCCTCCTACCAGACACCCCCCACTCTCTCGGTGCGTCCCTGGCCACTCAGGAGCTGTCTTTAAATGACACAGCCCCAGGAAAGCCTGCGAGGTTAGGGGACAGGGGCTTTTCAACTCTCACTGAAGGCTGGTTAACCACTGAGGGAGGGAAAAGGAGAGAGAGAAAGGGGGACTCAAGCCATGGGGCATGGGGATTAGAATTCCCTGCTCTGATTTTCAGTTGTCTTCTGATTTTCTCTGAACTTAGTTTTGGAAATGTCTGGTTATTTCCATATAGTGGAAGGATAAATAACTCACTACCTTAGAGAAAACCTTCGTGTGTCTGGTTACACTCATCAGAGTCTGCTTCATTGTCTAACCTGGAGGTCACACCCTCAGATGCACGTGGAGCTGGGCTGGTAGAGTAAGAGAGTGATGGGTCAGGTGGGGACTTGGAAAGGGGTAGAAGTCATGTTGTATCCAAAGGGGCCATTGTTAAAGTTCCATGCTTTTGTAGCATGTTGCCTGTATTACTTCAATTTTTTTGACATGTTCCTAATGCATAGGAAAGAGGCCTCGTGTTGTTAGCAATTATTTACAAAGCCAGTGAGCCAAAATTCTACTAAATGTCAGCTCTTTGTAAACATTTATTTAAACACAATGGTGGCTGAGGGTGGGCAGCAATGTTCTGATCTCTGCCTAATTAATTCATCCCAAACTGCTGCAGATTTAAAGCATATGGAAATACTCAGTTGATACGGAATTTCTGGTGATATTAGCAAAATATTTGAATATTTTTAATAGGATTTCATAAACTAAATCAAGTCACAGATCTATATCTGTCAGGTAATTATTCATTTGGGCTTGAGAAAATACACACACATAGAGAATCCATACGAAGTACAGGTTGCTGGGGATTTAGCTCAGTGGTTCTGGCGCCTGCCTCATATCAAGTACAATGACATAGGAAAAAAAATAATTGAAGTAAAAGAAAGTTTCTTCCTTGAGTATTGCACTCTGCCAAGTGCTTGCCCACACGTGAGTCTTGGTGTAGCCACAATATTTTTCTTTTTCCTACCCTTTCATTATTAGTCCCCTTATTCCTCCCTATGTCTCTTTCTCCCCATTTTTTTTGAGATCTTAAACTTTATTTTTCTGACACACACAGAAACTTACATCCTGAAAAAAAAAAACCCAGCTCCTCGTGTTAACCATATTTCACAACAAAGGCACCTCAGCACTCTCGACCTAGGGGAAAATTTTAAAACACACTGAAATAGGAAACAAATGACGTAGCAAATACTCGTGAACGGAAACAACTTTGTCCACTGCCTCTCCGCATGGTGATGAATTTCTAGCTGACACTGGGGCTGGCTGGTGGCCTCTTACAGTGAAAGTGCCACCAGCCCTGGTCTCCCCAGACCCCATCTTCTCCTGAGCTTTACATGGGACGTGATCTGGTGTGTCATCAGCTCTCGGCCTGAATGAGGGGGAGGGAAGGATGCATCATGGTGGTCCTGAGGGGAGCTCGGCCTCCTAAGTGAGCATCGCACAGCTGTGGTCTTCCATCCTGAACTTCTCTTATCCCACTGTGGCTGTGACCTAAAGGATCAGATTGTGACTGAGTATGTATGGGCTCTCTGAGCTACCAGTGACTTTGCAAAAGAAAAAAAAAAAAGGTGCTATTAAACCGATTTCTGCAGTGGGAAACCTGAGCAGGAAACCCTCCCTTCCGGGGCCTGATGTTTGAGGCCATGCAGATGGGTCCTCTGTTCCACAGGGCTTGGTTTTGTCCCCATGTGGAAACCATCTGCATGAAGCAAGGGGCTGGCAGCTCTGCACAGCCTCATGGTTCTAATGTGGATTTCCTAAAATCTATATGTAAGCCTTGTGGCCCAACACTGGCTCCCAGAGCATCTGAACGCTGCTCATTTCTTTTCTCTTACTACACTTTTTCAAACTTGAGGCCAACCTGTGGTGCAATGGGGCTAACATTTATTGGTCATCTGCTGTGTGTTCCCACAGAGCCTCTTCATCACACTCTTGAATAATAAAAACAAATAGCAGAGCACTTGCTCTGCTCCATTTGGAGCTCAAGGAGAACCACATTGCTGGTTCAAGGAGGACCAGATCAATAAAGCAGAAAGTATATAACTTTTACCTGGAAATATTTCCCCTCTTTTTGGGCTACAATTGTATAATTGAAAAATACAAATAAAATATATTTATGATATCTTTAAAAAAATGACAGGCATAGATAATTCTTTCTCTCCTGGGCATCTAGGTTTTAAGATTTTTGTCCTTTGCTATTTTGTTCTTGGGTTGTAGTAAAATGTGGTACCCTTGTGATTCTATTCATTGGTTCTCCGGTATTTTCTGTAATAATAACTGGTGGTTTTCAGAAGGTGTAGAGTCCCAAGCACTTTCATCCTCATTATCCCCCTTCATTTTCATTCTCATCTACCCCACAAATGGGACACAGATCTTCACCTCTGTTCACAGGTGGGAAACCTGAAGCTCAGAGGGGAGGCAGGGGCATCAGAAAAAACAATGGGCAGGATCAGTGCTCCAGACGCTGACGCTTGCCTGCCACAGGTGCCAGTTATGGTGCTGATTTATTGATCTCTTCACAAGCCATCACCTGGAGCTCCTCCCGCTTGCCTAAGGCCACAATGGAACATTCTGTATTCACACACTGTTAGCCACGGGGCTGACTCTGCTGGGGGGGATGTGGGGACCGTCAGCCTGGAGATACCCAATGTGCGTGAGTGGGGAGGAAGTAAGTCCAGGTCAGCTGCACAGGAGCTGGTGCTGGGCAGGCCAGCAGTGCGTGCCCAGTGTTGGTGGGCTCAGCCCTGTGAAATTTCACTTCTTTCAACACATCTCTATGTGAAAGACTTGGGTGGTTCTAAAGAAGCCAGGGGAGACACAGGCAGGTGGAGAAAGCCCAGGCTACGTGGGGCTCGGCTGAGGGCAGTGCAGCTTCCAATAGTTTCAAAACATTTTCAATACTGCAGGAAGTTTTCTTAGGAATCTGTGAATGGTTTTGTGGGAGAGGGGCAGGGTATTTTTTTTTTTTTTTTTTATCACTATGTACTTGAGACTGACCTGGAGCTCACTATGTAGCCCAGGCTGGTCGCGACCTCACAGCGATCCTCCTGCCTCAGCCTCCTGAGTGCTGGGGTTACAGGAATGAGCTACCATACCTGGCTAGAGTATGCTTGTTATTTTGTTTTAAGTAGATTCTCAAAGGGCTCTGATGTCCCTCCAAATTTTTAAGGTTTACTATTTTTAAAGGAATTTCATGACCATCTATAAAATATTTCCGCCATCCAAACTGGGAGTGTCCTTATTACCCTCAGGTGCTAGTGAAGGTAGGTTCTCAAAGTCACATAGTGTCTCCTGCTCCCCTTCAAGAATGTGGGCTGGGCGTAGGGGTACACATCAGTAATCCCCAGCATCCTGAGAGGCTGAGGCAGCAGGATCACAAGTTCAAGCTCATCCTATGTAACTTAGTGTCTGAATGAGACCTTACCTCACAATAAAAATAAAAAGGGCTGGGGATGTACCTCAGTGGGAAGTCCTGGGATCAATCCCCAGTAACACACACACACACACACAAACACACACACACACACACCACAGTATTTAAAATATCACACTTCTCCACTTGGAATGGCCCCAGTGTGGCAAACTCCCATGGATCTATCAGAACTCAACTCTGATTCGACTTTGCTGTGGAGCCTCTCAGACCCTGGGGCACACTTCCCCCTCTCTTGCCCAACACCTGTTCCATCTCCTAACGCCTGTTGTCCTGTGGGAACTCGCTCACCAATCACTATCCTGGGAACACAAGAGTGGGCTCATTTTGCATTCCCAGCATGTGTCT